CGCCCGCCCTGCTGCGGGGCTCCATCCGATGGCCTCGTTAGGGCTAATTGCTCTGGCATTTGGGTCTGACAGGGACGGCGGATTCTGTCCTGTGTCGGGGCGTCTTGGTTCCTCCAGCTTGGGAGACGAAGGGGAGCTGCTTCCTTACACGGCACAGAAAGGCCAGGGCAAGATGTCATGAGGGGAGGATGCAGGCCTCACTGTCCCCTGCCTTCTTGGGACAATGGGAACTGAGGGACAGCCCAGTGTGGCATGACACCCCAAATCCTCAGGAGGTCCCCCAATGTCTCCCAAATGTGAGTGGGGGTCTAGGAGCGTGCAGGCCTGTGTCCCTGGGACCCAGGCTCTAGAGGGGGCATCTCTGGGGACCCTGGGAACCCTGGACCGTAAAGAGAACTGTGGGGTAGACATGGGCAGAGGGGCAGGGTATGCTCCAGCATGTGTGTGCATGTACATGTGTGCACTTGTACCACCTGTGTGTATGCATGTGATGTGTACGTGTCATGTATGAGTGCACATGCATAGTGTGTGGTGTGGACATATGTCACATGTGAGTGCATATGTGTAGTGTGTGTTGCATGCGTGGTGTGCCCATGTCATGTATGAGTGCACACGTGTAGTGTGTGCTCATGTGTGGTGTGTGTGTGTATCATGTATGCATGCACACATGTAGTGTGTGCTTGTATGTGATGTGTACATGCATCATGAATGTGCATGTGTGGTGTGTGCGTGTATGTGTGGTGTGTGCGTGTGTCACGTATGAGTGCACTTGTATGTGTTGTGTGTAGTGTGTCATATATGAGTGTGCTTCCCTGTGTAGTGCACGTGCATCTGTGTGTGTGCTTATGGTGTGTCCGTGGGTCATTATGAGTGCATTGTATGTTTATTGTGTACGTGAGTGCACTTGTATGTGTGGTGTGTACATCTGTCTTGTGAGTCTACTTGTACATATAGTGCATGCATGTGTCATATGCATCCGTGTGAGCATGCATGTGTTATGTATGAGTGTGCTTGTATGTGTGGTATGTACATGTCATGTGTGAGTGTGCTTGCATGTATAGTGTGTGGATGGTGCTTGTACCTATGGGGTGTACATGTGTCATGGGTGCCCACACGTGCATTGAGAGTTGTCTGCGTGCATGTGTGTGTGCCTCACACAGATGCCTGCATTTACCCAGGCACTCGCAAGAGGACACAATGCTGGCTCTCAAAGATCACAGGGCCACCTGAGCACACCACAGCCAGGCCATGTCTGGACGCTGCAGAGCCACAGGGAGATGCCTGTCAGCTAGGGGGCCCACAACACCTCCTCGACCCCTCCCCAGCACGTACATGGCTGGGCTCCTCCAGCAGGCCTGGATTGGGGAAGGCCCCATGGTGGGCAAGGCTGGTGCTGGGGATCAGGTCTGGTGGCCTCAGAGACTCTCCCTGTGGGCAGAGCAGCCTCACAGCCGGGTTGAAGCCAACGCTCTGCCCCTGCCCCATGCGGGGAGTGGACACCAGTGCCAGGGCACAGACCTGCCGGGTGGTTAATCTGGGTGATTAAGCCTCGGTGCTGAGAGGCTGTTGAGCACTCTGGTGATGGAGCTGGCTCAGCGCTCCTTACAGCCATGGTGGCAGGGGCCATAACCACAGGGATGGCAGGAGGAAGTGGCAGAGGGTGGTGGGGTATGGAGGGGACCCCAGAGGGCTCCATGCAGGAAGGTGGAGGCTGTCGCAATGGAGGGGACAGCAAGGGCTGCTCAGACCCCCGCGGGGCCCCCACTCCCCCAGTCACCTGTTTTGTCTCTGATCTGGCCTGGGTGGGCCCTCACTCCTGGCCTCTCCCTCACAGCCCACCCCAGTGGGACTCTGCCCCAGCCCCTCTCCTTCCCAGGGGCCACTGTGCTGGTCCCAGGGGTCTCTTGGGGTGTGACCTCAGCCTCCAGAGAACCCTGTCCCAGCTCTGCCCTTCCCTCTGGGGTCTCTGTAGATGGGACGCTGGTCACAGCAGCCTGTCTGATTTGTCCCCTGTGGTCTGGGGTCCTGAGCCCCGCAGCGCCAGGGGATGGTGCCACCAGATCTTTGAAAGACCAGTGTCAGGCCGGGCGTGGTGGCTCACGCCTGTAATCCCAGCACTTTGGGAGGCTGAGGCGGGCAGATCATGAGGTCAGGAGATCGAGACCATCCTGGCTAACACGGTGAAACCCCATCTCCACTAAAAACACAAAAAATTAGCTGGGAGAGGTGGCAGACGCCTGCAGTCCCAGGTACTCGAGAGGCTGAGGCAGGAGAATGGCGTGAATCAGGGAGGCAGAGCTTGCAGTGAGCCGAGATCACACCAGTCCAGCCTGGGTGACAGAGTGAGACTCCGTTTCAAAAAAAAAAAAAAAAAAAGGAAAGACCCGTGTCTTGGGAGTTGGAAAATCTGGGCTGGAGACTCACTGTGTGACCCCTGAGAGGTCGCACCTCAGAACCTCAGTCCTCGCATCTGCAGAATGGATCTGTGAACACCTCAGCTGCCCGAAGGTGGATGCTGCAGGCTGACCCAGCAGTGAGCCCTGCCAAGGCAAGGGGCAGCCGTGTGCTCCCTCCAGACCTGTGCCTAGCGTGGAGGGGCCTCTTCCCGTGGGCGCTGGAGTGGAGCCTTCCTGGTCTTTGTGGACATCTCTGGAGAGGGTCAGAGGCAGGTGGGTGACGCAGGTCAAGGCTCAATCCTGGGTGGTCCAGACTGGAGAGGTAGCCTCGGACTGGGAGAGGGGAGGCCGGCCAGGGTGGACTTTCGGGGCCTCCATGGGTACCCTCACTATCTGGGATGGGGGAGGGGCACGGCACAAAGGAGGGCGGGACCAGGGCCAGGACTGGAGTCAGGGGCACCTCCGTGCCCACGGGGGCCTTGGATCTGGGGTGCAGCATGGTTCCCTGGCCCTGAGGGGCTGGTGTGTGGTTCCCTGGCCCTGAGGGGCTGGTGTGTGGGACAGGCTTCCCAGGAATGGACGGGCAGGGCTGCCTGACTGGGGCGGGAGGCTGGAGGCAGGGCAGGTGCAGGGGCCTGAGGGCAGCACTCGCCTCCTCAGGGGTCCAGGGGCCTCCATGGCCTCAGCACCTGGCCTGAGCTCCTGCCTCCGGAGAGCCTGGCCTCAAGGAAGAGTCTAGAAAGCTTCGTTCCCATCGGGCTTCCATGAAAGCACAACTGGCCCAGGCAGGAAACCGAATTAAAAAGCAATATTTGTATCAGTGGAAGACATTTGCTGAAAGGTTAAATCCACATCCGGCAGTGTTGGCCACGAGCCTCAGGCGTGGTGTTCGTCAGGCATGTCTCTCCTGGCCTGGACACCTGAGCACTCAGGCCACCCTGGGCAGAGCCGGGGCGGGGCGCTCGGGGCCTGGCGCTGCCTCACCGAGGGATCCCCAGCCGTCAACCCTGGGGCAGGCAAATGAGCCTCTTCCATGGACCTTGAAGGGACTTGGGGGGAGCCATGAAGAGCTTCAGCAGTCCTGGACACTGGGCATGGAGGCTGGGCCACCCGGGGCCATCATCAGGGACTCAGGTGTGTGGGCCTCAGCCCCGGGTGACAGAAGCTCACAGGCGGCAGGGTGAGGCCAGACGTTGGGTCTTCAGGCAAATCCCTCCAATGCCCTTTTGAGCAGGCACCCAGACCTACTGTGGGCCAGGACCTAGAGGTGGAGGCCTTTGGGGAACGCCGTGGAGGGGCACAGCATCTCCGAGGGAGGACAGGGTCTGCACTGGGTGCTGGGAGACAGCAGGGGCTGAGCGGTGGGCTTCCCTGCCCCCAGGGAGGTTCCAGAGGAGTGCAAGGGAGGGGGCATTAATACCATGGCAAGAAAGGGCAGGACTTGCAGAGTGAGCAGTGACCGAGGCGGGTTTTGTGGGATGCGCGGGAGCTCACCTGGATAGAGGTGGCTGAGGAATGACACTGCGAACTGGGGATCACGGAGCCCCAAATCCTTCTGCGGCAGGAAGTGGGAAGGGTCGGGGGGGTCTCCCCTTTGCTCTGACTGAGCACTCAGCCTGCAGAGGACAGTGAGGAGCCGCCGAGGGGTGTGGAACAAGGATGCCATGGCTGAAGCAGTTTTAGGAAAGGTCCCAGGGGCTATCACTGAAGAGAGAATGGGGACAGGGGTCGTCCCACAGCTGATAGGAGCAGAGTGAGCCCTGAGAGATGCCAGCTCTGGTGCCACAGTGACCAGCCGGGGAACGCCTTCAAGAAGTCAGGGAGCATCCAGGGCTTCTGCTTCCTGCTGGGCCCAGTGTGCCACCTTGGGCTGCCAACACCAGAAAGCCCAGCAGACACAGGAAGCCCCATGCCTGTCGGAAGCGGTTCCCCTCCAGGAGGGACAGCGGTGGCAGCATTCAGCCTCAGGCCATGCACTCTGGGGCCACGTCCTTCCTTCTCTACAGTCCACTGTTGTCAAGGTGGGCTCTGGCCATCTCTGCTGACCCCAGAGGGGTGAGGAGGCCTCCCCTTCAACCAGAAACCACCCTGGGCAGGGGCATCACTCCCTGGATCGGGGCAGCGGCTGGGAGCAGGAGGTGCCAGTGGGCATGGGCGGGGTGTGGGTGCCTGAGGACTGTGGGGTGGACACGGAACTCGGGGGAGGCTCTAGGCTGGGGTTGTCCTCAAGGGAGTTCTCAGGTCACCCCAGAATCACCCTCATCCTCAGGCCCGGTGGGGTAGAGGAGAAACTGCAAAGGTCTCTCCAAGGCAAAGGGCATCAGGGCCCTCAGCACTGAGGGACGTGCGTGCTCTTCAAAGAAGGGGCCACAGGACCTCTGAGGGAAGCCAGGAGGCTAGCAGTGGGCCACAGAGGGGCTGGGTGGGGGGGTGGAAGCCGTCCCTGGCATGCCATCCTGGCCCTGGTTGCCGTGGCCACCCTGGTGGGGGCTGCAATGCAGGAGGTGGGAGTCATTTGGAAACGCATGGCATCTCCTTGGGGATGTCCTCTGCAGCCTCCCAGGGTCCTCCACACTGGACGGGTGGGCCCTCCTGGGACATTCTGGACCCCACGGGGCGAGCCTGGGGAGCCTCTGCAATGACCACACCTGCAGGGCCTGGGGGCTGCGGGCAGATGGCACTCCTAGGAAGCACATCGACGAGACACACGGCCTGGAGTCTTCGGGAGAAGCAAACAAATCGCCTCCTGATGTCCAGGGCTGGAGGCTGGATTCCCCGTCTGGGGGCTTCTGGGTCCGTCTGCCACGAGGGTCTGGCGTTCATTAAAAGTATGCCCCTGGCTTGCCAGAGAGCCCCTCCCTGTGTGCTCCCTTGAGGGGTGTGGGGCCAAGGGGACCCTGGCTGTCTCAGCCCCCCGCAGAGCACGAGCCCCTGGTCCCCGCAAGCCCGCAGGCTGAGGATGATTCAGACAGGGCTGGGGAGTGAAGGCAATTAGATTCCACGGACGAGCCCTTTCTCCTGCGCCTCCCTCCCTCCCTCCCTCCTCACTAACCCCCGCCTCCATCAGGCACAGCAGGCAGGGGTGGGGGACGTAAGGAGGGGAAGGTGGGGGACCCAGAGGGGCTTTGACGTCAGCTCAGCTTATAAGAGGCTGCTGGGCCAGGGCTGTGGAGACGGAGCCTGGACCTCCACGCTGAGCCATGCCCACCCCCGACGCCACCACACCACAGGCCAAGGGCTTCCGCAGGGCCGTGTCTGAGCTGGATGCCAAGCAGGCAGAGGCCATCATGGTAAGAGGGCAGGTAGGTGCCCGGTGGCTGCAGTGGACGGGAGCCCAGGGCTGGTGCCAGCTGCCTCTGCTACTCCCCAGCCTGGCCGGCAATCCCAGGCTCAGGGTCCATGCAGACCCCCGGGACCCGGTGTGGGTGTGGAGTCCTGGGCACGGCGGCATCCCCTGTGCCTGGTGTTTGAGTCCCTGTTGGGGGAGGGTAAGGTGATGCCTGTCCCTGTGTGTGCCCCTCTTAGGCCGACCTCCCTCGGGAGTTGTGTGGGTCCCTGTGTCTTCTTTCATCTTGAATCTTAATGATGGGAACGTGGAAACAAATCCATTCAAAAAATCCCACATGGCCAGAGGTCCCTGGGTGCTGCACACAGCCCCCACCCTACTCCCACCTGCCCCTGCCTCCCTCTGCCCCAGCTGCCCTGGTCAGCACCTCAACCAGCCTGCCTGCTCCGGGAGGCAGCCCCAAGGCCCTTCCCGGGCTCTAGCAGCAGTTCATGGTGGGGGGTCCTGGGCAAATAGGGGGCAAGTCCAGAGTCAAAGAGTATCTGGGCTCTGGGGCGATTCCCATTGGGCTGTTCCTCCCTTATTTCCCTCATTCATTCATTCGCATGGAGTCTGTGTTCCCTGTGACCCGTACTTGGAAGCCCTGTGTACAGGGGGCTGTGCCGGCCAGGCTGGATCATCAGGAGCTTCTCAGCCTGCAGGAAGGGTTTTCAGTGCCTCCGTGGGCACACAGAACCATGGTGTCCCTGGCACATTTAAAATGGATTTTTATTTATGGACCTCGATTGAAACGTGGTGTGAGTTGTAGCAGTGTCATTTCCAGGTACCTTCTCAGGGACGTGGGGTGCCCTCCCCCGCCCTCCCTCACCAGGCTCCCCACCAGGCCCTCCCCAGGGGGACCCAGGCCCAGCCTCACGGGCTCTCTGTGGCCTGGAACTGCAGCCCTAGCTGCATCCTACACCCCCGCCCCAAGGGTAAGAGGCAACTCCAGGAGGGGCTTCTGCTGCTCCCCTTCGTGTTCCATGACCCTGGAAGACCAGGGTGAAGCTGATTCTTCCCTTACAAGGGGCCCAGAGCCTTTTTGGGAGTTCAGCTCCAAGAGATGAGCCCCCGGTGTCTGCCAAGTCCCCCTCTGTCCAGGCCTGGGACGGCTCTGGGATCGAGGGGTTGGAGGTGCTGAGCCCAGCGAGAGACACCTGCACCCAGAGCTATGACAAAGGGCAGAGGGATGACAAGGCAGCCAGGAGCAGGCGCCTGGGGGGTGGCGCAGAGGGGCAGGGCCCGAGGACAGGCGTCCTGATGGGCTGTGAGAAAGGGCCCCTGTGCGGGAGGCAGGAGGGTAGGGGGTTTGTTCACCGGGGCCCTGTGGGGGCAGCTCCTTCCTGAGCTGCCGTTCCCTCCCCGGCAGCCAATGCCATCGTCCAAGACATCGCCCTCTTCCCATCACTAATCCAGTTAGCGCCTGGCCTGGGGACGGGTGACACAGCGTCTCTGTCTGTTCCCCATAGAGCGAGGAGCAGGCGAGCACCCTCCCAGCCCCTACTCCTCCCCCCGCCCCCACTGCTTCTGGCTGGGCTGCCCCCATCGGGAAGGGTGTGCAGTGCCTGCAGGCACCTCGGCTAGCGTCTGCCCCAGCAGGCACACAGTAGGCGCTCAACAATGTGCTCTCATGCCCGGCCTGTGTGCCATCAGCGCCGCCCAACTGTGGGATCAGCTCTGGGTGGGGGTCCCCGGGTCTCAGCAGGTGGAGGAGGCATGGGTGCCCCCTGTCCCCACAGTCCCCGCGGTTCATTGGGCGACGGCAGAGCCTCATCGAGGACGCCCGCAAGGAGCGGGAGGCGGCGGTGGCAGCAGCAGCTGCTGCAGCCCCCTCGGAGCCCGGGGACCCCCTGGAGGCCGTGGCCTTTGAGGAAAAGGAGGGGAAGGCCGTGCTAAACCTGCTCTTCTCCCCGAGGGCCACCAAGCCCTCAGCGCTGTCCCGAGCTGTGAAGGTATTTGAGGTGAGCCAGTGGCCTTCGTGTCCCTGGGGCAAGTTCACCTGCGGGCGGGGCTGTGTGGGGTGAGTTCCTGGCCCCTCTATAGCAGAGGTGCAGCTGCCCAGGCCCCTGAGGCCGGCACAGGATGCAGCGGGGGAGTCTCAGGCCTCAGCTCAGCCCCCACGGCATCTAGCTACACCCCCGTGTTTGTGAGGGATCCTGAGCCCAGCCCTAGGGCTGAAGCCACCGAGCCTCCACTGTGCCTCCCGCCTTGCCCATCCCCTGGATCCCCCTCATCCACCATTTCACACATGGGGGGCTCCCAGTAGGGCAGCACGGGAGGCAGGGGTAGGACGGTGGGCCCTCTCCCTCCCGCCCAGCACGGCGACTGAGGTGATCACTGATTGCATTAGTCACTTGGGCCCCACTGTGCCCAGGGGGGCAGGTGACCCGGCTCCTGGAAGAAGTTCCCAAATGACATTAAAGCCAGACTCCCCCGGCCCAGCTCCGCAGAGCCCGAGGGCCACTGCAACCCATCGCCCTTGTTGCTGGGCAACGGAGGTGGGGCTGGAGCGGACCCTTCCGGCCAGTGTCCTGGATGCTCAGGGGCCATTGAGACTCAGGGCCCATCCTACAAAGCTGGATGAGGCCACCAGGCTTGGGGGCACCTTCTGACCAGTGGCTGAGGAGCTGGACAGTGTGGCACGGCCTTGGAACACACAGACAGAGCCACCCAGAAGCAGGTCAAGCCTCAAGCGGTGACAAATCCCAGTTAGGTGCATGACACAAAACCCAATTTGCCAGTGGCAAACCCTGGTCTGGTGGCCAACAGCTGACCTGAGCCTGGAAGAACGGGATCTGTGTGCTGCTAGAATAAAAGTCAAGGGCAGGGCCTGGCCAGCCGGCCAGATGTGCCTCCTCCTCCCCTCCTCCTCACCCTCTCTCCATTTCTGTCTCTCCTTCTCTCTCTCTTCCTGCTTTTGCTCCCTAAGACGTTTGAAGCCAAAATCCACCACCTAGAGACCCGGCCTGCCCAGAGGCTGCGAGCCGGGGGCCCCCACCTGGAGTACTTTGTGCGCCTCGAGGTGCCCCGAGGGGACCTGGCCGCCCTGCTCAGTGGTGTGCGCCAGGTGTCAGAGGACGTGCGCAGCCCCGCGGAGCCCAAGGGTGAGGCAGTTTTCTGTCCTTGAGTGCCGCCAAATGACCTTGAGATGCTGGGGTGCAGGGGCCCCTGCAGGGGGACCCTACAGTGACCACGTGGTGGTGGACTGGTTCCCTCTCTGTGGGCTCCACTTTGCCCCCCGTTTTGCTACACATCCGTGTCTGGGCCTGGGGCCACCTCGAGAATCCCCCCGCAGCTAGCACAGCCCCTGCTGCCTCTGCCCCGTGGAAGTCTCGTAGGGGAGGCTGCTTCAAGGTGGGTGACGCGGCCCCATGCCTCCAAGCTCACCAAGACTTCTTCCTCCATCCCCCATAAAGTCCCCTGGTTCCCAAGAAAAGTGTCAGAGCTGGACAAGTGTCATCACCTGGTCACCAAGTTTGACCCTGACCTGGACTTGGACCACCCGGTGAGTGGTGTGCCCCCCACTCAGGCCTCCTGCCCCCTGATCACATCCCCTACCCTTATCCCAACCCTGGACAGGAGTCTGTCGGCTTCGGGAGCCCCCGTGGCCTGTGCCCCCAACCCGAGCACGGCCTCCTGACCCGCGCACCCCTCTGCCCTCAGGGCTTCTCGGACCAGGTGTACCGCCAGCGCAGGAAGCTGATTGCTGAGATCGCCTTCCAGTACAGGCAGTGAGGGGCCCCTGCGCTCGGGACCCAGACTCCGTCCTGCAGGCTCACGCTGGACCTGGGGGGTGGGAGGGAAGGACAAAGGGGAGGACCCATCTTGTCACAGCATCATTGCCTCCTGCCAGCTCTGCTCCAGGGCTTTCCATGTCCCCAAATCCCGGGGGGAAACTGAGGCCCGGGGGGGCTAGAGCAACAAGCCGAGGCCGCACAGCTGGCTCACGGCACAGTCAGCCAGGGTGCACCCTCCTGTCCATCCTCCAACCCAAAGGCCTCGCTGCACAAGGCAGGTGTGGACCTGTGCCCAGAGAGGCTCCCTCCCTCCCTCCTGCCCTTCCCACTCCCCGAGGGGACCTGCTGACCACTGGCCCCCTCCCCAGCGGCGACCCAATTCCCCGTGTGGAGTACACCGCGGAGGAGATTGCCACCTGGTGAGACCCCGTGCAGCTAGCTGGCGAGGGACTGGGGAGGAGCCCGGGGGATGCCTCCTGGAACCCTGGTGTGTGAGGGCCGCCTCCAGGGACCTCGGCACAGCAGGAGAGACTAAAGCCAGGAAGAAGAGGGACCTCCAGGGATCAGAATGTTGGGTTGGGAGGAAGAGGCTACCCATCCTGTCGGGCCATCCCCAGTATGCTGAGGGACCACCCCTCACCGCCCCCTACCCCCTGGAATTCCCCAAAGCCACCAGCAAAAGCCCTTCCCAGGGACCTGGGTCTTCACGGGTCCCCAAGAGGCGTGCGTTGGGAGGGGTTCAGGCAGACAGAAGCACCCACAGCTCAGGAGGGGCTTCAGGGAGGGGGGTTCCGGCACTGGGGTGGGCTTGGAGGGCCCTGAGCCCCGCTGCCCGCAGGAAGGAGGTCTACACCACGCTGAAGGGCCTCTACGCCACGCACGCCTGCGGGGAGCACCTGGAGGCCTTTGCTCTGCTGGAGCGCTTCAGCGGCTACCGGGAAGACAACATCCCCCAGCTGGAGGATGTCTCCCGCTTCCTGAAGGGTGGGCCCAGACGGGAGGGGCGCGGAGCGGGGGCGGGGGGGGGGCCGGGGACGGTCAGCCATGCGCCCCAGCCCAGCGCGGTTGCAGCCCGTCCTGGCTTGGCAGTGACCAGAGTGGCCCCTTGCAGAGCGCACGGGCTTCCAGCTGCGGCCTGTGGCTGGCCTGCTGTCCGCCCGGGACTTCCTGGCCAGCCTGGCCTTCCGCGTGTTCCAGTGCACCCAGTATATCCGGCACGCGTCCTCGCCCATGCACTCCCCTGAGCCGTGAGTGCGCGCCCTGGCCGCCAGCCCGAGGGTGGGGGGTGCGGCGCGCGGCCGCTCAGCCCCCCTCTCCCTCCCACGCGCAGGGACTGCTGCCACGAGCTGCTGGGGCACGTGCCCATGCTGGCCGACCGCACCTTCGCGCAGTTCTCCCAGGTACGCCGCGGCCTCGAGCGAGTCGGGTCGCCCAGGGGCTGGCCAGGCGCCGGGGGCGGGGGTCGACGTGCGGGTGGGTGAAGTGTGCGGCCCGCTCCTGGGCCCCGCCATGGGGGCTCAGCGCCCCGAGGGTCGCGCGGCAGAGGGCGGGGCTGGAGCGGAGCCTCCCGCGGCCTGTGCTGCCACCTGCCGGCTACCTGGGAATGGCGCCCTCGGGCTTAGGGATATGGTCAAGGAGGGCTGCCTGGAGGAGGAGGAGGCCCAGTGGAGGTGCGGATCCAGTGGAGGTCGCCAGGGAAGGTCTCTGCCGCCCGGGAAGTGTCCCAGAGATCCCTGCAGGGGCTGCGGACACCCCCGGCGCCCCCACCTCGAGCACCTCCCAGGGCTGCCTCTCCCCACCCTTCATCCTCCTCCCCACTCCACAGGACATCGGCCTGGCATCCCTGGGGGCTTCGGATGAGGAAATTGAGAAGCTGTCCACGGTGGGTTGACCCCTCCATGCAGGGCCCGGGGTGTGGGCTTGGGGGTCTGAATCCAGGCTTCGCCCTCCTGCCATCCAGGCTGAGGCCTCTGCTTCCACCCAGGAATCGTGACCCTCACCCTGGCTTGCCTGCGGCCTGGCCTGGCCTCCCTGGGGGTGGTGCCCTGGTCACAGGTGACCAGGGGCTGCCAGGTGGCGGCAGCTGTCTCAGGGCTGATGCTGCCTGCCTTCCCCACAGCTGTACTGGTTCACCGTGGAGTTTGGGCTGTGCAAACAGAACGGGGAGGTGAAGGCCTATGGCGCCGGGCTGCTGTCCTCCTATGGGGAGCTCCTGGTGAGACCCTCTCCTTGCTGCAGTCCCCAGCAGAGGGACAGGGCTGGGGGACAGTGCAGGGAGAGGACAGGCTCCCAGCGGGAGGAAACTGAGGCCTGGGCCTCCAGGACTCAGGCTGTGTTTGGGAGAAGGCTTGTCTCTGCCCAGTCCTCACCCCACACTATCCCAGGCCTCGGGAGGCGGCGGGAGAGGTGGGGGCGACTCTGCCCCAGGAACCCACCCAGCGTCAGGTTGTGGTACCCGGGTTCCCTCGGGGACGTGGGTGCAGTGGAGTCAGTGATGCCATTGGCCTGCTGCCAGCACTGCCTGTCTGAGGAGCCCGAGATTCGAGCCTTCGACCCTGAAGCAGCGGCCGTGCAGCCCTACCAAGACCAGACGTACCAGTCAGTCTACTTTGTGTCTGAGAGCTTCAGCGACGCCAAGGACAAGCTCAGGTGGGCCAGGCTCCTAGGGCAAGCCCCCAACGGTGCCCCCAAACTGGGCCAGCCAGGCCTTCCTTCTGGCCTTGAGCAGGGCTGGGCCTGTGAGCCCAGGTCACAGATAAGAACACTGACCCCCGGTTGCAGCAGCCCCCACACAGCAGAGACCCCGTCCGCGAGAAGGACCCCAGCATCTGGGGAGGGGCAGACCTATAGGACTGGGGGCTGCTGGGTGACCGGGTCAAGGCTGGTGTTGGAGGTGCTGGCAGAGCCTGAGTTTTGTGAGGAGGTCCTGTGGAACCTGTCCCAACCCCCTGCCCTGGGATGGGGAGAAGTCAGAGGGGATAGACAGAGTCAGGGTGGGGGGCATGGCGGGAGTGGGGTCCCCAGGGCTGGGGGCCTTTGGTGCAATGACCAGAGTGTCGGGAGAGGGGAGCAAAGCCTACTAGCCTCATCCTCATAAAAGCTCTCGTCATTTTCCCTCCAGCTTCCTGTAGTGCACTGGGGAAACTAAGACCAGGGGCTATGTTTCCAGTGGGTGCGGGTGCTGAATTCCACCCACAGGCTTAGGGATATGGTCAAGGAAGGCTTCCTGGAGGAGGAGGCCCAGTGGAGGTGCAGAGAGGGATGGGACGCCCGGCAGAGTCTCTAGTGGAAAAGGCGCCTAGCCTATCTCCCCCATGAACCCCCTCACCCAGTCCTGGAAGAGGCCTCAGTGTCCTGCCTGAGACCAGGTGGCTCAGAAAAGCCCCAGGAGCTCTGAGCCACCGTGAAGGTGGAAGCGCGGCTCCAGCTTCCCCTCTCCTGGAGGCTGCAGACTCTGCGTGCCAGTTGACGAGGGCTCTACCACTCTCCTCCCCAGGAGCTATGCCTCACGCATCCAGCGCCCCTTCTCCGTGAAGTTCGACCCGTACACCCTGGCCATCGACGTGCTGGACAGCCCCCAGGCCGTGCGGCGCTCCCTGGAGGGTGTCCAGGATGAGCTGGACACCCTGGCCCATGCGCTGAGTGCCATTGGCTAGGTGCAGGGGACCCCCGAGGGCCCTTCCCAACCTCCCCTGGGCCTGCACTGTCCTGGAGCTCAGGTCCTGGTGAGGGGCTGGGTCCCGGGTGCCCCCCATGCCCTCCCTGCTGCCAGGCTCCCGCTGCCCCTGCACCTGCTTCTCAGCGCAACAGCTGTGTGTGCCCGTGGTGAGGTTGTGCTGCCTGTGGTGAGGTCCTGTCCTGGCTCCCAGGGTCCTGGGGGCTGCCGCGCTGCCCTCCGCCCTTCCCTGACACCGTCTGCTGCCCCAATCGCCGTCACAATAAAAGAAAGTGTGGTCTCTACACCTGCCTGGCCCCACGTCTGTGCCACAGAGACAGGCCCTGGGATCCCCAGGCTCCCACACCCCATCCCCAGCCTCACTCGGGTTTCGCCCTGTCCTCCTTCCTCCTCTGGGAGATGGCTGGCCACCCTGGCCAGGCAGCTGGCCCCTCCGGGCCTGGTTTCCCTGCTTACCCTGAGGCCCCACCCAGTGCTGAGCCCCCAGCAGCTCCAGAGGCTCGGGCACCCTGGCTGAACTGCCCCATCTCTGTGGGGTGCCCTCCCAGGGTGGGGAGCCAGGTGACAGTGGGAGGGCCTCTCTCAGGCCTGGCAGGGAGCAGGGTCACAACCGTGCTGGCTGGGGGTGGTCTCAGAGGTGGGCCTGCAGGCCTAACCCTCCCTGCTGACGGGGCTCCCAGCCCTTGAGAGGAACGGGGATGGAGGAACAGCTGCCCCAAAGCCGTTGCCCACCCGCAGCAGGCTCTGCAAACCAAGGGGGAGCCTCAGCGTGGCCCCCAGCACATGTGTTGATGGGGAGGGTCCGGCTGAGCTGGTGCCCAGGCAGATGGTCTGGGCCTGTCTCCCCAGCAAGGCAGGCGGGGACTGGATTTCAGACTCTAAGATGCCCCTGGCTTACCCGAGGGGCCTGGACGTTGCCCTCCAGAGAGAGCACCCAACACCCTCCAGCCTTGGCCAGCCAGGGTGCCCCCTTCCTACCTTGGAGAGAGCAGCCCCAGGGCATCCTGGGATATCAGCTGGCCTTCAAGGCCTCTCCCTCCCTCCAGCTGCCCCACCACACTCTGCTGGGATCCTGGCTCTCAGCTCCCAGGGCCGACAACCCGGGCAAACTCCTACTCATCCGTGAAGGCCCTCCCAGGCACGGCAGTCCTTCCCAGCCTGGCAGTCTGTTCCTCACACACTTTGTCGGTGCCCAGCCCCTAAAGTTGCACCTGGGGGTGTCTCTGAAGGGCTGTGAGCCTCAAGGACGCCCTGGGAAAGTGCCTGCCTTGCCTCCCCCCAGCCCTGCCAACCCCTGGCTCTGCCCTCCCACCTGGGTACCCCCAATCCAGCCTCCCTCCTTACACACCCCTCTTAAGGAGGCACCCATGCCTTCTCCCGCTGCTGGGCCTCAGAGCATGGTGGCGTCCTGGGGCGGCCCCTGCATGTCCTGCTGTGGCATGGCTCGGGGTGGAAAGGGCGGAAGGGAGGGGCCCTACAGACAGCTGGTGCCCACTACCAAACCTGCTCGGCGCAGGAGAGCCTAAGGCTGGGTGTGTGCGGGGCGGCCTCGAGAGGTTCCGAGGCTGAGGCCAGGGTGGGACATAGGGATGGGAGGGGCCAGCGCACAGGATGCTCCAACCTGCCTGCCCCCATGGTCGCGCTCTCCTGCTGCTGGGACCTCCTGATCCTGCCCGTGGTGCTAAGAGGCAGGTAGGGGCTGCGGGCAGCAAGGCTCGGAGCCCATGCCCCCTCACCATGGGTCAGGCTGGGCCTCCACGTGCCTGTCCTGGGGGGCTGGGAGGGCCGGAGGGGTGCACCCCAGGGGCTCAGCCCAGATGACACTATAGGAGTGATGGGGTCGTGGGGCCTGGCCAGGAGAGGGGAGATGAGCGGGGGCTCCCAGAAGAGGAGTGGGGGCTGAGAGGGTGCCTGGGGAGCCTGGGCGGAGCTGGGCCAGCGCACAGCCTCCCATACCTGCCCATGGAGTCCTGCCGTCAGCCCCAGATCACATGGAAGATCACGTCTGGGTGGCCTGCTGGGGACTCGCTGTTCGTCCCCACGTCCCTGGGTCGTGCCCTCCTTCTGCCACCCTGGGGAGCTGAGGGCCTCACCTGGGGCTGCTGTCCTAAGGCGGGTGGGAACTGGGCAGCCAGCAGGGAGGGGACCCTCCCTCACTCCCCCATCCCCGCCACCTTGGGCCACCCATGGGGGCATCTTGGGCAACCAGGGACTGAGAACAGGGGTCCCGAGGACAGGGGGTCTGGGGACAGTGGTGCAAAGAGCCCCGCCCTGCAGCCCCAGCTCTCCTGGTGTAATGTGGAAAGTGGGCCGGGGAGGGCTTTGCTCTGCTGGAGACATTTGCCCCCAGCTGCGAGCAGGGACAGGCCTGGCCACCAGGCCCCTGGTTAAGACTCTAATGACCCGCTGGCCCTGAGGAAGAGGTGCTGACGACCAAGGAGATCTTCCCACAGACCCAGCACCAGGGAAATGATCCGGAAATTGCAGCCTCAGCCCCCAGCCATCTGCTAACCCCCCCACCCCAGGCCCTAATGGGCCAGGCAGCAGGGGGTGGCAGGCAGGGGAGATGGGCTCTGAGACTATAAAGCCAGTGGGAGCCCAGCAGCCCTCAACCCTCCGGGACAGTCTGCATCAGAAGAGGCCAGCAAGCAGGTCTGTTCCAAGGGCCTTCGCGTCAGGTGGGCTCAGGGCTGCCCCACTTGGGGGTTCCAGGGTGGCTGGACCCCAGGCCCCAGCTCTGCAACAGGGAGGACATGGCTGGGCTCTTAAAGCATTTGGGGGTGAGCCCAGGGGCCCCAGGGCAGGGCACCTGGCCTCCAGCCGGCCTCAGGCCTGCCTGTCTCCCAGGTCACTGTCCTTCCGCCATGGCCCTGTGGATGCGCCTCCTGCCCCTGCTGGCGCTGCTGGCCCTCTGGGGACCTGACCCGGTCCCGGCCTTTGTGAACCAGCACCTGTGCGGCTCCCACCTGGTGGAAGCTCTCTACCTGGTGTGCGGGGAGCGAGGCTTCTTCTACACACCCAAGACCCGCCGGGAGGCAGAGGACCCTCAGGGTGAGCCCCACCGCCCAGCGCTGCCCCTGGCCGCCCCCAGCCACCCCCTGCTCCTGGCGCTCCCACCCAGCGTGGACAGAAGGGGGCAGGAGGCTGCCACCCAGCAGGGGGTCAGGAGTACTTTTTCAAAAAGAAATGAAGTTCTCTTGGTCACCTCCTAAAAGTGACCAGCTCCCTGTGGCCCAGTCAGAAGTTCAGCTTGAGGATGTTGTTAGCTTCGGCAGCTGAGCCCCAAGATACATCGGAGGTTGGGCACGTTCCTCCCTCCACTCGCCCGTCAAACAAATGCCCCACAGCCCGTTTCTCCACCCTCATTTGATGACCACAGATTCAAGTGTTTTGTTGAGTACAAGTCCTGGGTGACCTGGGGTCACAGGGTGCGCCACGCTGCCTGCCTGAGTGGGCCAGACCCCTGTCGCCAGGCCTCATGGCAGCTCTGTAGTCAGGAGATGGGGAAGATGCTGGGGACAGGCCCTGGGGAGAAGAACCGGGGGCACTCGTTCAGGCTCCCACTATGGCACCGCCCTGGGGCGGGGGAAGGAGGTAGGACATGTGGGCATTGGGGCCTGTGGGTCCACACCCAGTGTGGGTGACTCTCCCTCTAACCTGGGCCCAGCTTGGCTGGAGACGGGTGGGAGTGTGACCTGGGGCTGGTGGGTAGGTGGGCACTGTCTCTCCCTGACTGTGTCCTCCTGTGTCCCTCTGCCTCGCTGCTGCTCCGGGACCTGCTCTGCACGGCCCGCCCTGGCAGTGGGGCAGGTGGAGCTGGGCGGGGGCCCCGGCGCAGGCAGCCTGCAGCCCTTGGCGCTGGAGGGGTCCCTGCAGAAGCGCGGCATCGTGGAGCAGTGCTGCACCAGCATCTGCTCCCTCTACCAGCTGGAGAACTACTGCAACTAGATGCGCCCGCAGGCGGCCCACACCCTCCACCTCCTTCGCCGAGAGAGATCGAATAAAGCCCTTGAACCAGCCCTGCTGTGCCGTCTATGTGTCTTGGGGGCCCTGGGACAGGCCCCGCTTCCGGGCAGTGTTGTGAGCCCCTCCCAGCTCTCTCCACGCTCTCTGGGTGCCCACAGGTGCCAATGCTGGCCAGGTCCAGCATGCAGTGGCTCTCCCCAAAGCAGTGATGCCTGTCGGCTGCCTGCTACCCCCACCCTGTGGCTCAGGGTCCAGTATCAGAGCCGGGGGGGGGGTGGTCGCTGAGAGGCCAGGGGTGGTGGGACCACTGAGAAATGACTTTTTGTTCAGTAGCTCTGGACCCTTGGAGTCCCCAGAGACTATGTTCAGGAAAGGGAATGAGAACATTCCAGCAATTTTCCCCCACCTAGCCCTCCCAGGTTCTATTTTTAGAGCTATTTCTGATGGAGTCCCTGTGGAGGGAGGAGGCTGGGCTGAGGGAGGGGGTCCTGCAGGGCGGGGGGCTGGGAAGGTGGGGAGAGGCTGCCGAGTGCCACCCGCTATCCCCAGCTCTGGGCAGCCCCGGGACAGTCACATACCCTGGTCTCGAGGCCCAAGCTGGCAGCTGTCTGCAGCCACAGCCTATGCCAGCCCAGGCCCAGCCAGACACCTGAAGGACCCACTGGTGCCTTGGAGGAAGCAGGAGAGGTCAGATGGCACCATGAGCTGGGGCAGGTGCAGGGACCATGGCAGCACTGGGCAGGGCCTCAGAACCCACACCTTGGGTACCCTGGCCGTAAGGCCCTAAGGATTGCAGCCCGAGAGGACCAGGGAACCACCAGGGCCACAGAGGCAGAGACCAGGGCCAGGGTCCCTCCCTCTCCCAGAAAGCAGGGCCGCTTGGCTGGCTTCCTTTGCTACAGACCTGCTGCTCACCCAGAAGGGCTGACGGGCCCTGGTGATAAGGTCATTCTGACTCCAGGTCCTTGGGGGTCCTGACACGCAGCCTCTTCTTCAGCACCCCCGAGCACAGGGTGGCTCTGCTGGGCATTCAGCCTAGTGGGCAGACGAGAACCCAGGGGCTGCCTGGACCTACTGTGGCCTGGGAGGTCAGCGAGTGACCCCAGCTACCCTGTGGCTGGGCCAACCTGCCTGCTGCCCAGGCCAAACCAATCTGCACCTTTCCTGAGAGCCCCACCCAGGGCTGGGCTGGGGATGGCTGGGCCTGGGACTGGCATGGGCTGTGGCTGCAGACCACTGCCAGCTTGGGCCTCGAGGCCAGGAGCTCACCCTCCTGTTAGGGACCTGGCCACTGGGGCAGCCCTGTCCCTGAAGCTCTGAGCTCACCCCTTCCCCATGACCACATCAGGCCCCTCCACCCAGAGATGTCACAGCCCCCAGCTAGCCCCGCCTCCAGAGTGGGGGCCAAGGCTGGGCAGGCGGGTGGACGGCCGGACACTGGCCCCGGAAGAGGAGGGAGGCGGTAGCTGGGATCGGCAGCAGCCGTCCATGGGAACACCCAGCCGGCCCCTCTCGCACGGGTAGAGACAGGGGCGCCCTGCTGGAGCTGAGGTATGTGAGCTCACGCGGGGCTGGGCCAGAGCAGGACCTGGTGGGTCAGCTGGGAGGCTGCCCACCAGTTGGTCATTGGCCAAGCTGTTGCCCTGGCTGAACCTGATGGCCAACAAGGTCGTAGGGGGTGATGGGCAGAGGCCTGTTCTGGGAAGGGAGGGTCAGTGCTCTGTGGGGGACCATGTGTCGGAGTGGAGGGCAGCAGGAGGAGCCCTTGGGTGTCCAGGGACTCCTGGAACCACCCCAGCCTTCCGGGACTTGCAGAGCAGCTGGCACTGGCTGGTGCTAGGGGCTGAGGAATGTCCTTTGAGGGGCCAAATTTTCTGTGACCTCTGTCCTGGGGGACTTCTGGCCTGAGGCCTCAGGAGAGGGCAAGGCTGCCCACCCAAAAGAGACGCAGCCATGGTTCAGGGAACCCTCAGCTGCCCTGGGCCAGAGCTGGGGCCAGTTTTCACCTTGTTGAGACCCAGGACTCTGTCCCCCAAGCCTGTCTTCTCCAACACCTGACTCCACCCCCCACACACTGTGTCCTAGAAAAAGTGGACACGGGAGACCAGAGCCAGGGCAAGGGATCACCCCTCCATCCCCCCAGGCCCAGTGAGAAGCAGCTGGCCAAGGTGATCCAGGTGCAGAGAGAGCATTAGACCCAGTTTCCTGTCAGGCACCACCTTGGACACCGGTCCCCAGATGCCCTGGCTGGGGAGCATGGATGCTCCCGGAGCCCCCAGGTCACCCCATGTGAGCCAGGCCCACAGAGCTTGGCTCTGCAACACCTGCTGGGCCGCTGCCTATGCTCCGCCCCTTCTGGGAAGTTAAAAGACAGCCCTTCAGTGTCCAGAGACCTGCCTGGCCTTGGAACCTGGGCTCCACACGCCCACCGGGCTGGCAGGGGCACTCAGCGCCTCCAGCCCCGGTGGTCACCCTGGCGTTGGGTGCATCTAACTGCTCCCCAGTCACAAAGCAACTGCTCCCCAAGGCTCCCCAAACCTGCCGGCCCCCCTAGAAGCCTCTGCCCATTCCTGGAGGACTGAGGGCAGCCTGCAGTCCATCCCGCACACAACCTTCTGTCTGGGCATCCCGCCTTCACATGTGCTGAGCAGGGAGGAAACTCTTGTACCACGTTCCTTAAGCGGAGACTGAAACCTGGAACCAGGCACACGGCACGTGCCCCCACCCACCCAGGACACACTGCGGTGTGGCTGCCTCCAGGCTGGCTCCCTGGATTACGTCTGCTCCTGGCATGGATAACTGGCACCTTTGCCTGGCCGTTGGGGCAGTGTTTGCCTTCCCCTGTCGGCAGCAAATATTTACTGTCCTCCCTGTCTCCAGGCCTGAGCAGACCCTGGGGGGATGAGAGTGGGCTCAGGGGTGCTGAGGGTACCCTCCTGCCCTTCAGGTCCTGGTGCCCAGCAGGGGTCCAGCCCAGGGAAGACAGTGAGGCTAAGACAGGTGGTATTTAAGCCTGAGCTCCTGGGAAAGGTAGCCCTGGGCAGAACTTGGGCAGAACATTGGCCAGTGTCTGTCTCCAGCCAGGCTATGAGGTAGCTTGTTCCGGGATGGGCACCTTTCCACTCCCAGCACTGTGGCCAGGAGCCGCCATTCACAGGTGCGACCAGCAGATGGCATCAGAGCCTCACTTTTGATGCACTCCGGTCACCAGCCACGGCTCCAGGCTCCGGCCACCACCCAGGGTCTGAGCAGCTGCATCCTGCCCCTGCCAGGCACTCCCAGGGGCTGTGGGGCCTGTGGGGCCTGTGGGGCCTGTGGGGGCCCTGCCGGACACTCTTGGGAGCTGTGGGGGGCCCTGCTGGGCACTCTGAAGAGCGTGGGGCTTAGGAATGAGAGGAGGCATCTGATGATGATGAGGGGGTCCACCGAGGCCCCCGGCCTGCTCAGGTCCAGTCTTGCCCCCCAAGTCAAGCCTCAGGCCAGCTTCTCACTGGCCTGGGTTTCTCAGAGGGCCGGGACAAACGTCCTGGGTCTCTAATATTCCGAGACAGCCTCTGGCTAGACTCTGAGCCCCACCTGCGGGCCCTAGAATCACAGAGAGCCAGGGTGAGAGGACCAGGGGACTCCGTCCCATCCTCGTCATGGCTGAGCCCACCGTGGCCGGAGGTGGACCGGGCCGTGGGTTTTGCTGAGGGTCCCCAGGGCCCCTGGGGGCTACTGAGGCTGGAGGCCAGCGGCGGCCAGGGGGCTCCATCCCTCAGCCACTCCAGTCGGAAGGTCGAGTCCTGGTTCCCATGTGAGGAGGGGGCTTCAGGGACTGGGACCTGGGGGCACGGAAGGCCTGGAACTGGGGTCCGGGCGGCTCAGGGTTAGCGTGTTCCCACGCTCCCCTCCACCAGCGCGGCGAGGAGAGGGAGGTCCACTCTGGAAAGAATGTTTGGGGGCAGGGGTAGACAAGGTCTGGGAACGCGGAGATGACACACTGGGGTGCCGCCTCCGCACCCTCCGCCCTTCCTCCCACTATTGTTTCTGGCCTCGGCCGCAGGAACAGCAAGGCAGATTCCTTCGAAAGTGGGGCCGGCCGGAGGCGGTACCCCATCGTCCCTCTCTCGGTCCAGCCGCGCTGTGCTGGCGCCAAGCTCCCTGCCGGCCTCCCACCCGCTCCTCCGCGTCCTCAGCTCACTCCCCTGCTCCCAGGTGGCCCCAGTCCCCACCCCACCTCGTTTGGACTCCCCACTTCCTGCCCATCTGCTGCTGTCGAGTGACATCCTCCTTGACCCCAGGGACTGCTGAGGCAGCCTCCAAGCCTCCCAGTGTCCCTGAGGCTGCCCCTAGAAGCTGGCTTGGGGCTGTACCAAAAGTCACCCCACAGTCCGCACTTTCCAAGGCAGGGAGATAGCAGAGATCTCAGGGTGCCTGTGGACCGAGGACTAAGTCAGAGTCAGGGTCCCTCAGGCCGAGGGAAAGATAGGTGGTGCCTGCCAGGCTCTCCTCACCCAGGGAGGCTGAGATGTCTAGACCCAGGTGGCTGTGACCCCTGGGCAGTGTCACAGGGCTGCTGAGGGCTGCACCAGAACCAGTCCCGTCCTTGCCAGGGATGGAGACCGGCCTCGAGGGGGCCCGGCCCTGGGGGTCCGCAGGCCTGTAGGCTTCGGGGGGGTTCTGCCCGCTGCAGCCCAGGCTGCTGAGTCATCAGAACCTCGGGGGCGCCGCGGGCCCCACATTCCGCCCAGGCCTCTCTCTGACCCCCTTCCCAGCCCATCTGTGTTTTTGGAAAACAGAGCCAGAGCCCCCCATGGCCCTGCCAACTTGCGGCTGCTCACGCTGGGACTCAAATCGCACCCTTCTGTCTTCAAAGTCCACCTTCACTTCAAAGCTCGGTCCCACCCCAGCCCAGCCTCCACAGGGCCACCACCTGCCCACATCCAGGCCTGCTGCTGCCCAGCTTCGGAGGGACCTTGGGCATCCCCTGATCCTCTCTAGAGCACAGGACCCCCTGGCATGGGCCCATTACACACGGGTGGCTGGGTGGGTGGTGAGGACGGGGTTGGGA